AGTTTCCCTGGTGTTGGCCAGAGTGGCCACCAGGGAAAGCTGGGGAGGGCTAGCCTCCCACTAGTTCGAATTAAGGGGCTACACACCCCTTAATTCGAACTAGGAAGTTCAAACTAGGCTTAGTCCTCCTAAAATGAGGTTTACCTAGTTCGAACTAAGCGCTCCGCTAGTTCGAATTAAGTTCGAACTAGCGGAGCGCTAGTGTAGCGCCTATGAAAGTTAATTCAAACTAACGTCCGTTAGTTCGAATTAACTTTCTAGTGTAGACATACCCTATGTTACCAGTCCCAGCAGCAGGGATGTTAAATATTGGTTAATTGAATAGTCGAATAATCTCATGAATTCTTATCAGTTAATCGACTGTTCTGTAGTCCCCGGAGGTGGAGCCTGCAGACAGTGTATCAGAGGCAGCAGTGCGGGTTACCTAGTGGGAGCTGATCCACAAGAGGAGCCAGTTTAAAAACCACTTCCCCTCACAGACTGGCTGCCTGTCGCCCTGTGCTGCTGCCTCTCATAAAAAGGCAGAAGCGTGGAGTGGCAGGAGCCCCTGTCTGGGGGGAGGGTCTGAGCTCTGGACGAAGCACAAGTCAGGACTGAGCTGGGCTGCCTGCCCGCCGAGCTCCTAATACACTTTTAATGCAGTGCCACCGCAGGAGTAGGTCCTGGACCTATCACAAGGCAGGACTGAGCCAGGCTGCTGGCCAGCCTGCTAAAAAAATTTACTGGAGGGGCAGGGAAGGGCAGGGAAATGTGTGTAGTCGATAGCATTAACCTATAAGCTTTTGCTCACTGGTTAATCAACTACACTATTGCATCCCTACCCAGCAGTGGTGTTTTAAATGTCGTCAGATGATCCTGCTCAGTTGCTGGTGTGACCTATCTACACTAGGACACTCATTGGAAATGAACCGGTGTTAGCATCGGTGGGAAATTTTCAGAGAATTTTTGTGGTGAATAAAGGGCCTAATACTTGGAACCACAAAGGCAGAACCCTGCACAGCTGCAAATGTATGTGCATGGATGCGGATATCTGTAGCTATGAACTGGTATCTGCAGGGGTCTCCTGGGAAACGTAGGGTTGAAAGGCCGCTGCCAGTAGCCATTGTCCCATGTGTAACTGTACTGCACCCAACCCTGCCCACTGGACAGGCATCAGGCTCACTGGCAGCTATATCTGGTCAAGTGGCTGGCATGCTCCCAGTCAGGAAATCCTGGGAGCAGCAGCCCTTTTGCCGCTGTTTTTTCTGGGAAAGCCCCATGGTTCTCCAGATACCAGCGTCTGCAGAGATCTGTGGATATGAATTCGCATCCGCTCAAGGCTCTATCAAAAGGGACTTAGCCATCATGATACTGAGTATTGCAATGCCTCACTTTTAGGTGTCCAGGAAATCATAGGAACAACACTGCAATTTACAATGTTGCTCTAAGCTCCTAGGCTCCTTGTACATGGAATGGGGAGAGACAGGTGTCCTTAGGATGGAATCCACAAAAGCTGGCCCACAAGGTGGGGTGCTGCCTAAGCTAGCCAAAGGGAGATGCTGATGAGACTGGCATGCCCCTTTCACTGGGATAAGTGCAGCCTGCTGGAAGGCCCCTGTCTCTGCTAGCCATTCACATCTGGGAACTGCTCTCCTGGAGTCTGGCAGCATAGGGCCTGTGAGGAATTACAAGGCCTGAACATGGCTCAGTGGGGGGCTGACTAGGAATGAGAGCAGTTCAGCAGAAGAAGGGTGGCCTGCTGGAACCTCTGAATCTGAGACTTAGGGAAAAGCGGCTAGCTGAAGGAGAAGGTGGCTAAGGCCCTAAAGTGGGCTTAAGCTGTAGATCCAGCTCCAAGGAGAGCTGAGGGAGACTCCTGTCATAAGGAGGCAAATGGGAGAGACTATTTAATGACAGCTGAGCTGTATTTTAGAGAGACTTCACTTTAGAGAGGCTGAGAGCAACTATGAGGAAGCTCCCCAGTAGCTAGCTAGGGAGTAGTGATGGGGAGCCACACATTCCTGGTGCTGTGTTCCCAAATCAATTGGAGGTGCAGAGAAGCAGGGAGAGGCAGGAGCAACCCAGGGTAGTGGTGAGGGACTGAAGAATGAGCCCTTAACCACCAGTGGAGAGGCTGGGCCTGCATTCCACTACTCTTCCCCCAGACCACAAGGGAAAGTACAGGCTTCAAGATTGAAAGAGGCAGGAATGAGGAGTCCCAGATGGGGGGAGGATGAGGGTTGTGAGACTCTGTGTTTTCCTGTTTTGAGGAATGATTGGTTTATTCCAGAAGGGGTGGGAGTCTAGGTGAATCAGCAGGAGGGTTGAGTTGCAAGAAGCAGACCACTGCAGAACCAGATTGGGTGTCATCCAGTGTGCTTGAAGCATGCAAGCCTGCTCCATCATGCCCTGCATCAGGGTATCAGCTGGTGACTATAGCACCTGTGTCATTCTTGTGAGAATGAGCTAGGTGCCTGCCTCAATCCACGCAAAGCCCAGGGGCAGCTTGCATGTAGAAAAGATCAATAGATAGTTGAGGAGGGTGAATATTGACAACCCTTGTAATGTGGTAAAGGCCGAGGACGCTTTTCTTAATCGTTGTGTCTGCAGTTCACTGGTGGCATAGGATTATCTCCAGTGGCTCAAAGAGCCTATTGAATACCAGTAAGGCAGGCTTGTGTTACCCATTAACTGTGTGTGCAAATTTGTAGTGTTTTCATTCTATACTGATTAGTGTGATAAGAATGGATGCTTATCTGTGCTATTTTGTGTTTTTGTTTTCCTGTCTGTACAAGTCAGCAAAGTTAGTAAGATAGATTCCACTGGAGAACATTTCCTTGGAGAAGGACTCACTCTCTCTTGACCCAAAGAAAGATATACAGTGTATAAAGTTAATTCTTCTAACCTAAACTTCAGAAATGAAGTGACTAACTCTTAGGGGGTTTAAGCACTGCAATGCATTAGGGGTTCATGCTCTCTAATGCCTGAGTGATAGCCATATGCAATATGTAAAAAGAGGTCCCATCTTCTCTTCTTTAAAAAAGAAAAGCCAAAAAAAGTTGTCAAGAGAGAAAAATAAATCTTGGTGCATCTACTATCAGGTTAAAATACACAGTTTAACCTACAGCTCAATCACCATGTGAAATCAGATAATTAAATAAATGTTCCTTCTTTGTATTGTTACCACCACTACAAGTAATGAACACTATAAATATTAGAAATATAATTGTCATCATTATTATTGTCTTTGTGCATTTGGCACTACATTTAGCTTGGAAAAACAGACACGTCATTTTCTCATTTTGCCATCTTGTGCTAATGCATCAGAACCAGTGTTCTGGCTACTAAACTGCACAGGAATGTTTACATCCAAATGAATCCCCCATTTTAGTTTGAATTTTATTTTTTTTCAAAATCTACACAAACATGTTTCTTTAATAGATTAGAGCAGGGGAGGGCAATAATTTTTGACAGGGAACCACTCCAAGAATTAGGAAAGTGGTCGAGGGCCACACTCTTCCATGATATTAATGAGGGAGGTGTGGGGTCTGGGATGGAGGTTGGGTGCAGAAAGGAGCTTAGGAAGGAAGTTTGGGTGAAGAAGGCAGTTGTGACCTGGGGCACTGGACTGAGGTGCAGGGGGTTGGATTGTGACCTAGGGCAGGGAATTGGGATACAGGAGAGAATGCAGGGGTTTGGATTGTGAGCTAGGTCAGGAGGGGACTGTAATCTGGGGCAGGAGATTGGGGTGTCAGATCTGCGAGGGGATATGAGTGCAGGAGGGGGGCAGAGGCTTTGAGTATGTGGAGTAGGGAAATTGGGGCCACAGGGTTGGGGAAGGGAGGGTGTGGGGTACCAGAGGTAGGGTCTGGCCAGGAGACTTACCAGCCAGAAGCCCTTTCCTGAAAAAGCTTCCCTGCCTGCCCCGCCCCACACAGGCTGTAGCCATGTGCTCTGTGAATAACTAGAGCCCTTGTGCTTTGTGGTTGCCTGTTATTGAAACAAGCAGCTCCCATTGGCCAGTTTCTGGCAAAAAGCTGGCCAATGGGATTGTGCCTGGGGTCAGGAGCAGCTCCTAAACTTCTTCCCTCCCCTCTGGGCTCAGTTTTTAAAGTGTGTGTCTGGGGTGAGGCAGGTGGGGAGCCTGCCTGCCAGTGTCCATGGGCCAGATCTGGTGGCTTGGCGGGCAGGCCATATTTTGCCCAGGCCAGTACTAGTTACTTACATCCCTAAAATGAACTAAGTAGTTTTAGAGATTGGGAGGCTAACTGGTTGACAACTTGTCTCTCCCTCCTTAAGTGATTACCTTACTCTACACCTCATGGATCAGACCATTGCCTGTAATCCCTAACACTCCACCCATTGAATGACTTGTGCGCCAAACACCACCCCACCCACAGGTGAATGGTGTGGGGGATGGGCAATCAATCAGTGTCCTGATCAGGGAGGTGCATCGAGATAGGGATTTTGAGGAAGAGGGGGAGGGTTACATCAGCCTCATTCTTCCTTAGTCCCAGATTGTACAAATACTGTGGTCCTTCACTATATTTTTGTCTCTTTAAAAAAGTAAGCATTGAAGAAAACTGATTTTAGCTAATGTGAAATGTCAAGAGGTTTGTTGTAAAGCTATTTAAAAAATCACTTAGAGGGGTTTAGCTGTCCAATGCATTTTGGCTGCTTCAATTTTTCCTGTGCTCTGTGAGAGCATCTGGTGCATTGAAAACTGTAACAGAAAGTTAAATTTGGGCTAACATGCTTTGAAAATAAATGTGAAATGTTAACCTCTAACAACTGTTTTTCTTGAAATGCATATAAAATAAATTGGAAATCCTATCTGCACAACATACATAAAGGTTCTAATTTTAATTCGATTTAGTGATAAGTAGGTTTCATGGTCAAGATTTTTATAATGTTAGACACCGTTCCCGGGAATCACATTCTATTTTTTTCTGAGTCTTGTCTTATCCTTAGGCTGATTTTTCATGAAGAGAAAGAAAAGTATGTTGTTTTTAAAACGTACATTTGAATGTTAAAAATGAGTTTAATTGGGAAGTGAGCTATTGTTGAAACATCTTAGCTAGCTGTGTTGGATATCCAAACTCATTTTAAAAGCAGCCTTGTAACATCTGATTTCTCCTTGTTTTGTGAAATGTCCCCAAGCTCAAACAGGCAGCTTTTAAGTGGTGCTTCAGCCAAAAATGGCATTATCTGCAAGATAAAATTAAAGTTTGAAAATACGTATGAGAATAAATGCTTCTTCTAGTAATCTACATTTAAATCACAGGAGGAGGAGTCATAGAAGAATGTTTAAGGTTGCCCCTTTTCAGTTGCTTTATGGCTCTGGCAAACTAGAACTGTTTGGAGTTAAAATGTCAGTGTTTGATCCTTGATTGAGATTCAGATGTTTGGGATTTGTTTTAAGCTTGAGCAAAAACAGTTCAGCAAAAGCAGATTGTTTCAAAGTGTTAACATTTTAATTTTTTTAAATACCTCTAGCACTTCCTGTTTGGAACAGGAACCTGCCGTTTAGCAGAAATATAATTCTGAGGTTAGAGGTGCCTTTTTCTGACCCAATAAAAATCCATTGGAATGCGGCCAATTTATAAGCATTGTGAGAGAAAATGCTACTTGCATACATATGGAGGGACTTGTTCAGCTCTTGTCCCTTCATACCCTGAACACTCCACATGCACTTCACATGCTCCTAACTTCAACTAAGCCCCTCCTTTCTTGTTCTGAAACAGAACTTCACAAACACCTGAACCTCCAGATGGGACACAGACAAAAGGAGCAAGAGGATCCACATTTTCCCCCTTCCCCCATCAAAATCACTTTGTCCCCCATCAAAATCTCTTTGTCTCATACCTTGGAGAAAGCGCTCCTAAACTAAGAACTAGGAGACCATGAGTTCTAGTCACCTTTTTGATGATTAGTGCTCATGAGAGAACTCTCTGACTAAGAAGCAAATAAAAGCAGACTGTGTAGCATTAGATAACTTTAATATAAGTGAAGTTATAATTGCACATGTTGCTCCTGATATAGCAATATCTGGTGGGAATGATTCAGTGAAGAGTGGTACCTGAAGAATAGATGTGAGGAGTGGCCAAAAGAATGTGACATTGTCTTGTGTTCCAGAGATTTTCACTGTATCATTTATCTGCATGCACTCCAACTGCCATTCACTGTTAGGTGTAGCTGTACTGAATGGCAAAAAGATTAATTGGAGCAGAACTGTTACTGTGATATGAGGAGTACCTTGTATCCTGTACATGTTCCTTGAAGGACCAAGAATGCAACATTTCAGTGCTGAGCTGTGTAGGATGTATTAGTAGAAGTACACAAAATGTTTACCTGCCAAGGAGATTGTCAGCAGTCTGGTGGCATGCATGACAGCAGTCTCTGAGGCTTAGTGAAGGGTAAGTGAAGGCAACATCTCAGAAGGAATCCTTAGGCAAGGACAAATGGATGGTAACATTTTGCAAGTCTGGGGTCATCTGTGTGGAGTAGACTTAATATTTGGGTGTAGAACAAGTGCAGAGAACTTCTGTTTGCTAAATCAGACCTAATTTCAGTTTTGCCTTAACAAAAAGTGTTAAACTCTATTGTATAGTGTTGTTCCCAGAGCACTGAGCACTGTAAGGGTCGAGTGCTAGTGTGTGTGTTACTGGTGTGCCGGGCCATTACTTTATGTTAATGAAATGCAGGGGCAGTGACTGCTCATTGCTTTTAAAGTTACAGACTAAGGGTATGTCTACACTACCACCCTAGTTCGAACTAGGGTGGTTAATGTAGGCATTCGAAGTTGCAAATGAAGCCCGGGATTTAAATATCCCGGGCTTCATTTGCATCTTGTCGGGCGCTGCCATTTTTAAATCCCCGTTAGTGAGGACTCCATGCTCGCGGCTACACGTGGCATGGAGTAGGTAGTTCGAATTAGGCTTTCTAATTCGAACTACTGTTACTCCTCGTGGAACAAGGTGTACCGGTAGTTCGAATTAGAAAGCCTAATGCGAACTACCTACTCCGTGCCGCGTGTAGCCGTGGGCACGGAGTCCGCATGAATGGGGATTTAAAAATGGCGGCGCCCGGCAAGATGCAAATGAAGCCCGGGATATTTAAATACCGGGCTTCATTTGCAACTTCGAATGCCTACATTAACCACCCTAGTTCGAACATGGCTACCGCTCTGAGACTTTTTACCGATAGCTTTTTTTAAATTCATACCAGAAAAAGAAAATATTACTTGAGTAGTATAATCATTTATGGAATAACACCCATTTCATCCCAAAGAATCTCAAAACACTTCATAAAGTTACTGTCTGTATTGTAGCAATGAACTAAAATCAGTTTATCAAACACTCAAATACTTCCACTTTGAGGGTGATGTGAGGCAAGAACACTCATAATATCACTATTGCATGTTGGGATGTTATGAAGTTTAGCTTACTCATATTTGTAAAATGCTTTGAGTTCTTGGTAGAATGTTCTATAGAAGAGCAAAGTATTGTGCTGTTTACACACACTGGGCCAGGTTCTGGTCTGTCTGGTCACCCTTACAAGCAGAGAGAGAGAATTTAGCCCAAAGATGGTAAGCAGGTTTGCTTTTGCAAAAACACAGCTTGAATTTAAACTTGGTGCACAAATACTCTACTTATGGCCTAGGGTGACCAGATAGAAAGCATGAAAACTCAGAATATGGGCAGAGAAAATATGCGTCTATATAAGACAAAGCCCCAAATGTTGGACTGTCCCTATAAAAACAGGACATCTGGTCACCCTACTATAGCCTTAAAAAAAGCCAATGAAGTGCTGTGGAAATCCAGGGGCTTATGATACCGTATAGCTAAAACTATGTAATGAAGTTCCTTGTTGGATAATTGCCTTCTGCTCTGAAAGTACTTCTTGGGTCTGATTCTCATCTCATGCTAATGTAGAGAAGAAATAAATCCACTTCAGTCAGTAGAATTATACTAGTGTAAAACTGATGTGAGGTCAGAATCAAGACCCTTCTTTTGTCTTGCTTTGGCATAATTAGATAAACACTCCCGCTTTTCCCTCTCATTGTTTAAGAAAGTGGCAGTTGAAGACTCTGTAAACTCATATTCTACTGCTCATAGTGGGCCAAATTAATCCCTAGTCTAACTTCACTGAATGCAATGGAACTACACTAGGGATGAATTTGGCCCTAGCTGTTTCTCTAATGCATATGACTTACTTCTTTCTGGAAAGTGCCTCCTCTCCTTGTGATGAGGAGGAGTGAGTGCTGTCCAGGAGCTCCTGCCAGTATCTGGCTCAGGCTCTTTTTCTCTATAGTTCTCTAGTGAACTTCTATTACTTTGAGGGAAGTGTCTCCTCTGAGGTCTGAGCCAGGTTGAGTCACCTTTTCCTTCCACCATACACAAGGAGTCCCTCGTCATGTTCAGTTCAATCAGGCGCTTTTTCTCTGACTCACCCATTGCATCTAGATGTGTGTTTTTCTTATAAGCAGACTTTCTAATAAAAAAGCAAACATATCCTCATGTAAATGGAATATTTTTGCTTGCCAGGAAATGAAACTTAAGAGGTGTCCACAGGCAAACAGTGAGCCTGATTCTGATTTTGCTTTGCTGGTGTAAATTAGAAGTAACTCTGAAGTCAGTGGAGTAACAATGGTATAAAGCCAGTCAGAGCAGAATCAGGGCTTTTATTTCTTCAGGTTTAAGGGTTAAGTACCCTTGGATGAAGATAGGGGACTCCCCAAAACTTCAATGAGAATCACACAAATAAATTAACAGACAGAATTTGGCTAGATCAGTTTAAATCTGTGCGTACAATTTTCTTGAGTTTAAGTTATTTCAGAGCCTATGGCCTGGTCTATGCTTAAAGGCTTTGCTGGCATTGCTATGTCTACTACCGGTGTGGTAAAAATGCATACCTTGCTCTGATAGACATTGCTATGCTACCAAAAGCTACAATGCAGATACAGCTGTACCATTAAAAATGTCCATTAGCCAGGAAAGTTTGTATTATTTAGTGACCTGCTATAAGCTGTATTGGCAAAAGCACACTTTTGACTATATAAGCTATGCTTCCACCATTTGCCGTTGAAGTGAAGCCCACCAGGCGTGGGGAACGTATGGCCCAGGGGCCAGATCTTGTTCCCAGCTTTCCTGGATCCAGCCCCCAAGACTCACCCTCGCTCTCAGCATCAGGGAGCTGGCGCTCAGGTCCTGTGTTCTCTCCTCCATCCTCCTACCCTCCCAGACCTATCAACCCCCAACAAACTCCTGTAACCTCACTCCTGCCCAGACCCCAGAACCCAACCCCGCTTCCTAGCAATTCCTCCTACACACTGAATCCCTCATGTTTTGCCCCATCCCAGAGCCTAGGGAAGCCCACAAAATCTAACTACCCTGCCAGAAGTGCGCAGCATTTTGAAGCACCACCCACTCCTTGCAGGGTGGGAGAAGACTCCGTGTGCTCTCTCCACCCCCATGCCAATCAGGGTTTTGGGGCGGTGGGAGCACATAAAGTCTCCTCCTGCCCTACAAGGGACTCAGCACTTAAAAGTCAACCACCAGCTGCTGCTCGGCTGGTGGTTGATTCTATGTGTGGCACTCCTTTGCAGGGCGGAGGCAGGGAATGAGAGACTTCACATGCTCTCCCTCCCCAGGCCCTGATTGACCTGGGGCAGCAGAAGGAAGCACGTGAAGTCTCCTCCCACTTCCGGGGCACAGGTAGCTAGAGGGAACCGCCAGCTGTTCAGAACAACTGGTGGTTCTCGGGGGGTGTGGGGGAGGACAAAGACTTTGCACACTCCCCCACCCCAGGCCAATCAGGATCCATGGGTGGGGAAGCAAAGAAGTGTCCTAGCCCCGTCCCTTCTGCCTGAGGCCACACACCTTGTGGGGTGACCCAGGGCCACTTCAAAAATTTCTGAAGTGGACCCCAGTCAAAAATTATTGCCCACCCCTGCTCTGTAGTGTAGAATCTAGATATAGCCTATGAGCGCTTTACTGATGAAGGTATACTAATATGGTACATCAGCAAAGCACTCACAATGTGGACACTGTTTATATTGGCAAAAGCGTGCTTTAATTTGAAAATGGGGCTTATGCTCCTAAGTCACTTAGGCACACTTGAAACATTTACCCTGTATCTGTTTTACAGATAAAAATAGAAATAAACATTTAACTACAGATTTTCTTATTCTAGGATCAAACAAAAAAAATTCAAGGTGTCTGCCCGATTCTAATCTAATACAGAAGTAATTCAAGAGCTTTACTGAAATCAGTGGAGTTAGAGTGGTGTATAACCAGTGCAAATATAGAAGTCTAATAATATATTAGAAATAATTTGAAATCTTTAGATGATAAGAACATAAGATCATAAGAACGGCCGTACTGGGTCAGACCAAAGGTCCATCTAGCCCAGTATCCTGTCTACCGACAGTGGCCAGCACCAGGTGCCCCAGAGAGGGTGGACCGAAGACAATGATCAAGCGATTTGTCTCCTGCCATCCCTCTCCAGCCTCTGACAAACAGAGGCCAAGGACACCATTTTATCCCCTGGCTAATAGCCTTTTATGGACCTAACCTCCATGAATTTATCTAGCTTCTCTTTAAACTCTATTATAGTCCTAGCCTTCACAGCCTCCTCTGGCAAGAAGTTCCACAGGTTGACAACATGCTGTGTGAAGAAGAACTTCCTTTTATTAGTTTTAAACCTGCTACCCATTAATTTCATTTGGTGTCCTCTAGTTCTTCTATTATGGGAACTAATAAATAACTTTTCTTTATCAGCCCTCTCCACACCACTCATGATTTTACAGACCTCTATCATATCCCCCCAGTCTCCTCTTTTCTAAACTGAAAAGTCCCAGTCTCTTTAGCCTCTCCTCATATGGGACCTGTTCCAAACCCCTAATCATTTTAGTTGCCCTTTTCTGAACCCTCATATACAAAAAAGCCAACTGAAACTTCAGAGAAAACTTAGGCAGAATATAGTTCTTTAAAGTGGGACAAATTATTAATGTTAAATTATTTATTTAGTTACTTTTGCCTCTTCTGAATTGTTGGTGAGTAGTATAAGATTTGCTCAGATGTAGTCAATGATTAATATTAAATTATTGGCTTATTTACAAGCAATTTTTATTTTAGATTAAAAATATTTCAAGATTGTTTGGATAGGTAGGTCACATGGTATTTTTTCTGCTCCATGATTCAATAAACATAATCTTGAAAAATTCCTGATGCATACCTGTGTTCTATGAATTCATAATTCCTTTCCTCTGGGTATTCTCCAATATTTACTAAAAATTCATCGAGTCAGCAAATATCCATGCCAGAGCTTGTTTGCTAGAATATTTTGGAAAAGCAAATGTTGCCAGAAAGTTAACTTTTTAAATACAATATGTATTCATAGAATTATTTTAGCTGTAATAATTACCTGAATTAAAACAGTGTCAAAAAAACCAAGGCTCAAATTATTGATCTTGACAAAGAGAGCGAGTGTATCAAATGTGAAAACTTAAAAGATACTCGTAAAGAACATAATTTGTCTGATTTAAAACATAATTTTACTGTTAGCTCCATCTAAAAAGCTCATAGTTAACTTACAAAATGTTATTTGATCAAGATCCCACCTGTGAACTCTTGAAAAGCTGATCTAAAATTTCTATCATTACTAGTAGCCTGGATTAAAAAATATCTATATTCTCCTACATTCCCTGAGGTTGTCTTTTTTTCTGTTTGTAGTGTCTACTCCAATGGGATCCTGATCCTTGATGGGATCTTAGGTACTAACACAATGCAAACAAATAATATCAGGGCTGGAAGTGAATCTCTTACAAGAATAGTATCTTAACAATATAAAAACACTACACACCTTCGCCTCAGCGGGGTTGTATTTTCTGGGAGGAGGTATCTATGTGTATGATGCCTAAGCCAAATTTCAGTGGTGGAGAGAAAAAAAACAAAGGAATGTTTGCCCAAGGACTTTAGAACAAAGGGCAGTTGGTGAAGATCCATATTGCCTAGCAACTGACAATTCAATTGGTTATGGTTCTATCACAACTGATGTCCCTTCTATGCCTTAAATTACAAGGTAGGACAAGCTTTTTTCACTGCTGCATGGCAGCTACCATGAATCAGATCCTGTAACTTCAATAAAGGCTAGTGAATTTCAATGTGCTGAGCTGGAGCTAGGATACACGTAGGCAGCATTACAGTCCAGCACCTTGCGTAATCCTGTGTTGTGCTTTGTGGGGGGAATGCACAACAACGTGGGTGAGGGTGATAGGGTCAGACAGTGAATACAGATCCAAAAATCAAGCCCTGCCAATATGGGTAACTGCTGCCAAGAGCACTAGTATAGCACTGAGATTGCAATGATGCTTCTGCTGAGGTTATGTGGGGTTGTAAGGCACATTCTCGAAACTTTTGTCAATTATCGCAATACAGGCCCATATAGGCCTGTTTAGAGCAGAAAAAGGAGGTTGTTTTTAAAACATTAGCTAACATGTTTTAATTAACATTTTTTAAAACAGCATATAGCATGTAGTATGCAGCATATAGCATCTCCTCATTTACAAACATTTAAACACTGGGGCAGTGTCTACACAGGCGCGATCTTGCACAAAAGCAGCCGCTGTTGCACAAAAACTTGCTGCCTGTCTACACTGGCCGCGTGTTCTTGCGCAAGTACACTGACGTTCTAATGTATGAAATCAGGGCTTCTTGCACCAGAACTCTGATGCTCCTGCTCAGGAATAAGCCCTTTTGTGCAACTTTTCTTGTGCAAGAGGCCAGTGTAGACAGGCAACATGAATATCTTGCGCAAGAAAGCCCTGTGGTTAAAACGGCCATCAGAGCTTTCTTGTGCAAAAGAGCGTCTACACTGGCAAGGATGCTCTTGCGCAAAAGCACATCTCTTGAGCAAAAGCACATGCCAGTGTAGATGCTCTCTTGTGCAACTACTTAAACGCAAGAACTCTTGCACTAAAGCGTTTCTGCACAAGATCAAGCCAGTGTAGACATAGCCCATGTGTTTAACCTGAGTATTCGCCCCAGAAACTCCTGTTTCTAGTCTAGACATACTTGTGCAGGATTCTCTGATGATCCAGCAGCAGGTACTGGAGCAAAAAGTGTGTCTAAAACTTTTCATCACAGTTCCAGTAATGTGGCCTGGTCGTTCTCTGGCTAACTTGTCACTTGTTCTGTATAGGGTTGCCCGGTGTCCAGTTTTGAACTGGACAGTCTAGTATTTGAGCTTTCTGTTCGGGAAACAAATTAAGAAAATATAAATGAAAAAAGAAATGTCCAGTATTTTCTAAATAAGATGTCATGTAGATTGTGATGTAATGGCAAGTGTGTCCGGTATTTTTGCTGAAACCATCTGGCAACCCTAGTTCTGTGTCACTACCAGGGCAGATGGCTCTCCCTGTTCAAGAGAGTTCTTTGGAAGGTCGGTCAGTTGACTTCTTTTCATTTCCTCCTGTGCCCTCTAGCTCCAGCTGTAGGCTGGGAGCCCTGTGACAAGTTTCCTGAAGCATTGTCAATGATGGTCATAAACAGCTTACCCAGCCTATATACCATATGGTGTGGAGTGCGATGGAAATCAATATGGGTGACACTCATTCTGCAAGGAAACTATATCCCTTTGGAATTGCCACCTGATGAAGAGTGGATTGGGGTATTTTTTTCTCATTTACTCTCATTAAACTTGTGAACTTTTCTATATTAAAAATGGCTTCTATATGCCATTTCTTCCACTGGGGCTGAAACCAAGAGGCCCTTGGTCAAAATGGCCACCATTTGTCTTTGGATGTGGGATTGAGGCTTCCTATAAAATGGCCACCACCTCCCATAGTTTTCAGTAGCACTGAAATCAGGTTGCCCTCAAGAAAGTGGGAAGAGACTGAAGTGAGGTTGTGGACTGGGTTGTGGGGCTGGGCCTCTGGGCAAAATGGGGGGAGGACCTGGGGCTGGACTGAAGGGCTGCTGTTGCTTCATTACTCTTGGGCTCTTCCTAGATGTGGCAGGGCTGGCCAGTCTCCTTAGTCAGGCAGGGTACCCTACAGTTAGCCTAAAGGGCTGCCTCTTCTGAAGCACCTCTCACCTGCCGAGCGTAGGCTGTCCTGGCAATAGCTCTACTGGCAGGCAGGAGGGGTTGGCTCATTGCTGCACGTGCTCTTGTTCCCCTGGTTCAGAGCGTGTCCCACAGAGAAAGGACCCTGGCTCCTCTCCCCACGTTTGATGGGCGCTGGCTCCCTCCAGACTAGAGAAGCGACCGTTGGGGGTGAAATGGGCTGGATCCTCTCCCGGCCCGGCCAGCCTGTGGGGCAGGGTCCCTAAGCTTGGGGGCACAGGGATAGAGGTTCCTTGTTTTGGGGACTCTTGCTGCAAGGGTGGGGCGGCTAAATCCTCCCCTCATCCTGTGGGGGCAGGGCCTCTGACAGCACGAGGTGCTGGACCCGGGCTCTCGACTAGGGCGGGGGACGCAGGCCAAAGGCAGGGGCCACTGGTGACTGTGAGGAGGGGCGGTACAGGGAGGAGCGCGCGGGGTGAAAAGGGGCTGCTGTGCGCCCCGGGGGCGGGCGCTGCGGCTGGACAGGGGGGGGAGGACCGATCTTCTGATTGGCGGCGGGAGCCGGCTGCGGGGAGGGCCGCGTGAGGAGCGGGACTCGCCTTCCCTGCTGCCGGCGCGCGGAGCGGTGCCGGGCCGCCATGGCTGGGGACGGGGCGGAGGAGGAAGAGGAGGAAGGGGAAAGGCAGGCGGGGCGCTTCTCGCAGCTCAATGGCTTCCTGCCGGGCAAAGAGGCCGAGCGCGGCAGCCCCGCGGCTGGGGCGGATGCTGAGGTGCTGCCGGAGGCGGAGGCCATGCTGCTTTCGCCTGGTTCGGGCGCGGCGCGGGCGGCCCCCCGGCTCTCCCGGCGCAGGCTAGCCGTGCTGGCCGTGTTCAGCCTCTACTCGCTGGCGAACGCCTTCCAGTGGATCCAGTACAGCATCCTGAGCAGCGTCTTCGTGCGCTTCTACCGCGTCGCCTACACCCACGTGGACTGGCTCTCCATGGTCTACATGGTGGCCTACGTGCCGCTCATCCTGCCGGCCACCTGGCTGCTGGACACCCGCGGCCTGCGCCTCACTGCCCTGCTGGGCTCTGGCCTCAACTGCCTGGGCGCCTGGCTGAAGTGCTTCAGCGTCAGCCAGAGCCTCTACCCACTCACCCTGCTGGCCCAGACCGTGTGCGCCGTGGCCCAAGTCTTCATCCTGGGACTGCCCTCCCGCATCGCCGCCGTCTGGTTTGGGCCCAAGGAGGTGTCCACTGCCTGCGCGGTGGCCGTGCTGGGCAACCAGGTGAGCAGGGGAGGGGAGAGGGGTAACCTGGGGAAAGGGCAGCAGGAAATCCGGGGGGAATGGGCTGTGTGTGAAGGTGAGGGTCAGGTTTGTACCCTTTTTGAAAAGAAGAAATTGTGTGGGGAGTGGATGGGGATGGGGGGGGGGGGGGGGAGGTAGGTCAGCGTTCATCAATGCAGCAGCTAGAAATCCATGATCTAGAAAGGAGAAATCAAGGGTAAGGAAAGGGGGAAGGAAATCCAGAGAGAAGAGAAGAACCTGGTTGAAATGATGGAAATCACAGCTGAACTTAGAAGGCGCTGATGGGGGAACACGCTTTGGTAATGTTATATTTTGTGTGCTTATTTTGTCATATACAGAGCTCCTCTTATTGTTTGAATGAGTAAAATTCAGATCCCAAGAGAGATTTTTCCATTCATGTGCATACAGTAAAATCCTTTATCATAAGAAGGCGAGATTTAAAATCCAGAATCTTTTTGTGCATTCTCCCCACAGACTGAGTTTTTCCCTTGCAGATGAGTATGGCAGGGCTACAGAGGGGAACATCTAAACATATTAGTCATTGAAAGGCTGGCATTGCATCAGAAACCTGATTGCTCTGACCCAGCATCTTTTCTGAGGTTTTAAAGGGCATATGGGTGTTAAAGGCTCACTGTAATTTAATGGAGGCTTCAGGTGAGGTATTTTTAAATGTTACAGAAATGAAGTTATCCATGAGTTATACTCCAATATGCCAAGTACTTTAACAGATCACATCAGAGAACAAAAGTGGGATGACTAAGGGCTTGTTTCAAATGTGTACGGCGCGGTTCCATTTTTAAAAGAGTATTTTTCATAAAAAAGTAATGAAAACAAATGGAGAAACAAGCTTAAGTTGAGACTTGTAATAAGGTGAAAGGTGCATTTAGCTTTATGTTCGAGAACTGTGACTATCATTTTCCCCAACAAAAAGCAGAGGAAATACTCTAACAAATGTTACTATAATACTCTGCCATCTGGGAGTGGGCGGGATTAATGATTCAGCACAAGAGTCATGTGACGATAAACCAGGATTTGTGGTATGAGGATGAGTCTAGTGCAAACTCATCCAGTCCATCTGAGTTGAGCTATCCTTGCACCAAGGACTCTTCATGGTGATGCTGCCTTGGTAAGCCAGGCTACTTGAGTGTTGGCTCTGTGAAGTTCCTTTAAGAACTGGTTACCCCCATCTGCTGTGCAAATCTGTGTCTCAGACCCTCATATACCATAGAGTTGGGAAGAAGGATCAAAGAATGTGGAGCGCAAGTGGTATTCTCCTCCCTGTTGAAGGGAAAGGACTGGGTAGGGATTGTAGAATTGAGGAAGCAAATGCGTGGCTGCACAGGTGGTGTCGGAGAGAAGGCTTTGGTTTCTTCGACCATGGGACTCTATTCCGGGCACAAGGATTGTTAGGAAGAGATGGGATTCACCTAACAAAGAGAGGAAGGAGCATCTTTGCGGGCAGGCTTGCAAACCTAGTGAGGAAGGCTTTAAACTAGGTTTATTGGGGGACAGTGACCAAAACCCTGAGGGGAGTGGGGAAGTTGGATACTGGGAAAAAATGCAAAGAGGAACGAGCAACAAAGGTGAACCCCTGATTCAAATGGAGAGGGTAGGGCGATCAACTGGTTATCGAAGGCGTTTATACACCAATGGGAGAAGCCTGGGTAACAAACAGGAAGAATTAGAGGCCCAGTCCAAGAACTAGGATTTGATTGGGATAACAGAGACTTGGTGGGATGACTCGCATGACTGGAGCGCTGTCATGGAAGGGTATCGACTGTTCAGGAAGAACAGGCAGGGGAGAAAAGGAGGAGGAGTTGCACTGGATGTAAGAGAGCACTATGATTGCTCAGAACTCCAGTATGTAGAGGGAGAAAAGCCTGTTGAGAGTCTATGGATCAAGTTTAGAGATGTAAGCAACAGCAGTGATGTGGTTGGTGTCTGCTACAGACCGCCAAATCAGGTTGATGAGGCTTTCTTCGGACAACTGAGAGAAGTTTCCAGACCACAGACACTGGTGCTCATGGGGGACTTTAATCGCCCTGACATCTGGGAGACCAATACGGCAGTTCACAGACTATCCAGGAAGTTTTTGGAGGATATTGGGGATAACGTCTTTGTACAAATGCTGAATGATCCGACCAGGGGCCGTGTGCACACATTGGACTTCAGAAAAGCAGACTTTGACTCCCTCAGAGATCTGATGTGCAGAATCCTCTGGGATGCTAACACGAAGGGGAAAGGAGCCCAAGAGAGCTGGCAGTATTTTAAAGAAGCCTTATTGAAGGCACAGAAACAAACTATTCCAGTGCATAGCAAGAGAAGCAAATATGGTAGGAGACCGGATTGGCTTACTAGAGAAATCCTTGGTGAACTCAAGCACAAAAAGGGAGCTTACAAAAAGTGGAAACTTGGACAGATGACTAGGGAGGGGTATAAATGTATAGCTCGAGAATGCAGGGGAGTTATCAGGAAGGTCAAAGCGCAATTGGAATTGTGACTCGCAAGGGATGTGAAAGGTAACAAGAAAGGTTTCTACAGGCATATTAGCAAGAAGAAGGTGATCGGAGAGGGTGTGGGGCTTCTACTGGATGAGGGCAGTAACCTAGTGAGAGATGATGTGGGGAAAGCTGAAGTACTTAATACTTTCTTTGCTTCTGTCTTCACGGACAAGGTCAGCTCCCAGACTAATGTGCTAAGTGACGCAATATGGGGCGAAGGTAGACAGCCCTTGGTGGGTAAAGAACAGGTTAGGAACTATTTAAAAAAGCTAAAAGTACATACATCCATGGGTCCAGACCTAATACATCCGAGGGTACTGAGGTAGTTGTCAAATGTCGCTGAAGAGCCTTTGGCCATTATCTTTGAAAAGTCGTGGAGATCAGGAGAGATCCCAGATGACTGGAAAAAGGCAAATGTAGTACCCATTTTTAAGAAAGGGAAGAAGGACGATCCAGGGAACTATAGGCCGATCAGTCTTATCTTAGTCCCTGGAAAAATCATGGAGGGCAAGTTGTGCTTGACCAATCTATTTAACTTCTATGATGAGGTAACTGGCTCTGTGTATGATATGGTGAAGTCAGTGGAAGTGATATATACGTTGACTTTAGAAAGGCTTTTGATACGGCCTCCCACAATATTCTTGCTAGCAAGTTAAGGGAATGTGGATTGGATAAATGGACGGTAAGATGGATAGAAAGCTGGCTGGAAGGTCAGGCCCAAGCGGATAGTGATCAACGGCTCGATGTCAGGATGGCGGTCAGTTTCTAGCCGAGTGCCCAAGGTTCGGTTCCGAGACCAGTTTTGTTCAACATCTTTATTAATGACCTGAATGAGGGGATGGATTGCACCCTCAGCATGTTTGCGGATGACACTAAGCTGGGGTAGAGGTCGATATGCTGGAGGGCAGAGATAGAGTCCAGACAAATTGGAGGATTGGGCCAAAAGAAATCTGATGAGGTTCAGCAAGGATGAATGTAGAGTCCTGCACTTGGGATGGAAAAATCCCAAGCATTGTTACAGGCTGGGGACCAACTGGCTAAGTAGCAGTTCTGCAGAAAAGGCAGCCTGGCTCAGTTCTTGCTTGTGCCACCTTTGGGAACTCAGCGCCCTCCTCCCTCCCCCCGACAGGGGCTTCCTGGGCAGTATAGAATAGTCTAGTAACTGATGAGAATTCATGAGGTTAATCGACTATTCAGTTAAGCGATATTTAACACCCCTAGCTGGGAGTAGGCAAGAGAGCCTGCTCCATTCATGCCCCTATACTTGGGAAGAAGTGTTCTTTCTCACCAGGAACATACCCCTGCAAGAAACCCCAATGCCAACTCTATCTACACATCTATATACAAGCGACACCATCCTAGGACCTAATCACATAAGCCACAACATCAGAGGCTCATACAACTGCACATCCTCTAATCCAGTGGTTCCCAAACTTTTCAGCATTGTGCCCCCTTTTTGATTTTTGAGAAACCCTCATGCCCCCTCTCCCCAAAAAATAGCAGCAAAACTTGACGGGGGTGTGTGTGCCTGGGTGACCTTGCCCCCCGCAGAATTTCTTCATGCCCCTCAAGGGGGCACGCCCCCCAATTTGGGAACCCATGCTCTAAT